ATTTTCTCCTTGAGGTAGCATCAACCATCTTTTTTCACTAGTGTACAGAAAATTGTACAACAACTCAGTAAAAGGTGAACCATTTTTATTTGCTTGTCTTGTTGAGTTTGGCACAGCGAGTGGGCCAATTGAATTGAAGATAAAGAATCCAAAACTTATTTTTCAATACTTAAGTTATCTCAAGTAAATCATTGGAGTAACTTCGTTTGTTTTTTTTTCGAACTCTTGTTATTGGATGAACATATATTTTGTTCTTTTCTATGTCATGGTTATTCAACTTATTCTGGCAAATTATAAAATGCTGTCAGTTGCTTTCTGCTGGTCAATGTTCTCTTGTTTGCTTTACTTTATTAATCTCTTTTTTTTAAAGGTTCCCATCAATAATATTACAATATTTATTTAATTATATATATAGGGTGGACTTGTTCGAGAAAAATTATGGGATTTATTGATCAACGAACCTGGAGTTATAATGGAAGAAGGCTTCCCTAATGCTACTGGAAAGGAGCAATCAATAAAGGGGATGAGGATGTCGGAGTTCTGTTTGCACCCTGCAGGTGACACGCCCACATCGTGTAGACTTTTTGATTCCATCCAAAGTCTCTGTATACCAGTAATTGTTAGTGACGACATAGAACTTCCATTTGAAGGAATAGTGGATTATTCAGAATTTTCAGTCTTCGTGTCAGTTAGTGATGCATTGAGGCCAAATTGGCTTTTGAGTCATCTTAGAAGCTATTCTGAAGAGCGGAAGGATGGATTTCGGAAAAATATGGCCCGGGTTCAACCCATCTTTGTGTATGATAATGGTCACACGGGTGGAATTGGCCCAATACCTCCAGATGGTGCCGTGAATCATATTTGGAGGAAGGTACACCAAAAATTGCCCGTGATTAAAGAAGCTATTACCCGTGAGAGGAGAAAACCTCCAGGTGTTTCGGTTCCCCTTCGTTGTCATTGTACTTGAATCTATTTTTATCCAATTTTGTGATCTTTGTAATCCTTTAAATGCGTCTTCCTACCAATATATATTTTATTTTTTCTCCTCCCTCGAGATGAGTTCGTTCAATGTTGAAAAGCATTGATTACACGACTGCAAACTGATTGCATATAATACTAGAAATGCTTGATTTAGTTGGAAGGAAGCTTATTATGTATGCCCATTAACAGATTACACAATTGCAAAATCATTGCATCGGATACTAAAAATGCTTGTTTTAGTAGGAAATATGCTTAATATGTATGCCTATTTAACTGTCGAACTTTATTCTTTAGTCTCTTGGATTCAATCGAGGAACTTGAGCTTGCTTGATAATGACTGTATCTGTGTAAAAAGAGGGATCTCAGAAGCATTCCTTAAGCTAGTTCATCTAAATGTATGAAAAGTTGTTTATCAATTTCCGCTGTATAAATCATCGGTTTGCAGCAAGAAGGGATACCCAATTCCTCTCCTCCTGGAAGGGAACAGTACAAACAGCACGCTTATTATAACCGATCACCAATGGAACGCTGTAGTAGATAACTTTTCTTGGCAACATCAGATGATAGCAGCACAGTAACATCAGTGTAACATTGCAAATGTAAGTAAAGTAATGAAAGAAAGGGCTGCATGGAAGATATCAGCCCATCTCAGCCTGTAATCTGCCGGGACAAGGGGTTTCACACTCTCTCCATTAACGATAACAAAAAGGCTCGGCGGCCAGGGTTTGGCCAGGAAAAAGCCCGAGCAGGGCCTGCTTTTGACTCGATGGCATCGAGTCGAGGTTCGGGCCGAGCCCCATTTTGGGGCATCGGGCTCGAGCCCGAGCTAGCCCGTAGCTCATCACCGACCGAGCCAAGTCTTAAAAAAATATATATATTAAAAATACAGTTGCTGCTGCTGTTTTTTTATTTTTTTATTTTTAAAAGTTTAGATGTATTTCTTATATATTAATTTAGTTATTATTTATAATACGTATAAATTGCACAAATTTTAAATACATTATAAAATTATAGATTTATAAGGAATTTTAAAAAAAAAAACTAGCCGAAAGCTTGGGGCCAAACTTCATTTTTTTGGCCGAGCTTTTGCTCGGTTGGACTCGAGCCCAAAAAAGCTCTGACCTGTTTTGCTCAAGTCGAGCCCGAGCTTTGAGTTTCGACTTGGCTCGTTGACATGGCTACTCTCCATTGAACGTTCTTAGCCTGTGGAATGTTGCCACTCCATAGTACAGCCTTCCCGTGGCTGTTCGAAAGCTGTCAGTGAATGAGAAGACCACACGTGAGGTGGCTGATAGAGCCAGGAAAAAGCCCATCAGCCATCGGTCAAAGGTGGTGCATTTGCTGTCATCAGTTATGAGTGGGGCGAAAATGGTGAAGGCCAGGATGGTAGCGGTAGGTAAGAGAACCTTGAATCTAGCAGTACCGCTCAAAACTGTATTTACTATTTACAATGTATATGTAATTAGAATTATCTATATCATCATCATAATCAACTGCTATGTAGTAGTAATCATTCTCATCTCCACTCAACGTCCCCGTTTGTTTCGCATTATGACGTAGCGAAAGATTATAGAAAAGAAGAACAACCTCACAAAGATGAGATAAAACTCACGAAAATTCTTTTTCAATTCAATAATCTGTCTCAAAGGGCTTACAATGTTTTAAATAGTAAAACCCTAACAAAATTCGAAAAATAAATAATAAAAATAAAAATAAAAAGATATTTTTCCATAAATGAAAAAATTCGAGATTTTAATTTAAATGGAAACTCATAATATTCAAGATCGTCCTCCAACAAACGAAATCCAAATCCGAATTTTATTGAATGAGATATTACCAAAATAAAAATTATCATAAACGGCAAAAACGAGTAATTGAGAGCCTAAACGATGGAATCTGCCCGAAATCCGACGTACGTCATGGCCGAAGGCGATGAGTTGTGATCATTTGCCCGTTTCCAATCAAATTAGACTATTAATTCGCCAAAAAAGACAAACCCGAAGTTATCATGACATCATTATTTTGACTTGCGATCTCACTTCATCATAAATTCTAACTTCTTAGACACTTCATCACATTATTTCAAAACAATTTTTTCTACTTACTCATTTTTAACCACATTTACATAATAATATATTCTACTCTTAAACTCAAAAAATTTCCCTACTTTTTAACCAAGCAATCTCCAAAATTTCACTATTCGAAATAATGTTTTTTTTTGGGAAAAAATGGCCACCAAACAGGGGCTCAATCTGATGCTGAATATAATTGCCCTCCAACATGCTGACAATAGCCTCCAGTTGATCAATGAAAGTGGGGTTTGGTTATTAATATTTGTGAGAACGTGCAGTAGAATTAAAATGGCTATTAAAATATTTATGAGGTAATGCAGGAGATACGTTGTTGAGACTTCTGGGGAGAAGCCATTACTGTTGTACTTTTGCGGTTTCCTTTAGGAAAGGTATCTTTGGGGTGGCACTAGATTCCAACATCTTTCTTCCATTTTTTGTTGCCAAATAAATCCCGATCCGGAATTAAAATGTAGTCGATGCGATCCACCTATCTTCAAAATCGACGTCCATGGTGGGCTATTTTTCTGAGCTCTATGACTACCAAATGAGTCTTTTCTAGAAGTAGCTCTTGTTAGACGACGTGTCGAGAGCCTTCCAAGAGTGCCTACTTTGACATGAAAAAAAGAATGTCCTAATAAACCTACTAGGACGTAATTGCATTCCAAAACAACAGTTTGTTGAACTTCTTTATAGGTTTTCATCTTTAGCTCGACTTCATAATAATTTGTTAACAATTGTTGTAGACAAGATTATTCACTCCACATACTGCTCTCATTTCCAATCTTTCGAGTTAAGAAGTCCGAGTCTCCAATTCATTCAAGCATAAATAGTTATGCATGATCACTCAACAAGTTCGATTTAACTCTAACAAGACGATAGAAATTTAGTATAGGCACTAACCATGCAATAATTATATACATAGAGAGCCTAATGTGGGAAATATATTAATATTAGAAAAAAAAAAACTTGCCCTATAAAGCTGGCTTCTTGTCCTAGTTTAGCAAGGAATACATTGTACATGACCATATTACCTTAAAAAAGACTTGACAGGCTATAATCAACATGAAACCCGTGCCATGTCTATTTCTTTTTGTATGCATCTTCAAAAATAAGCCATTCTTGATCCGTAATACTCTCATCCCACATGGTTAATCAAGCTGCAAGAAAAGCCAGACCTTTGAAAAACATATCCCCCTCAAGCTAACCCCATTTCTAATACCTCTTCAAATGATTTTCTGAATTTTAGGTTTGGTCGATAATGGTGCCATCGAAGTGGATCAAGCTGCGAAGGATATGTAAAGGTATCGACCTTCAGGTATGATTTTGGTCATTGGTTCATACAGCTGATTCTCCATACCAGCATCTGAAGGGAATTCTAATTCATCCTGTTTGACATAACAGAATGATATTTGTATGGACTGAGCGTTTGCAAAGAGACTCAAAAACAGAAAGAAGGATGCATACACACCACATTTCTTGGTGAACCAGATGGGCCTGCTCATTTGTATGGACCTAAATTTGTATGACGATCTGGTTTTATTGACCGAATCGACCAAGTCCCACCACATTTCTCGGTGAACCAGATGGGCCAAATCGGCCTGGCTAAGCCGGTTGTTGAGCAATCCGAGACGGTCTAGTTATAATCTGTCAAAGACAAAGGTAATTTTCCAAATCCCGAATAATTCTTTCCCATTGATAGCGTATAAAAAGGATAGAATTCTAGAGAATACCAATGACAATTTCTTTTTCACTTTTTTTTTACAATTACTCGAGAAGATGTACATACAAAACTTATGTGCAATAAATATTTAACAACCTATAAAAGAAGATAGACTTAATGTCCCCTCAACGTTGCTGGAAAAAAACAGCAGAAAGTGAGCGGCCATGCTGCACCGATATATACAACATACGGTAAAATTCATTAACACGAAAGCGGACTGATAAAGTTCAGGCAGAAAAACCATTTCGTCCATGATTTGGAGAACTGGGACGAGATTTCTCTTCACGTGTGGGTTGCTCTATAGACTTTGCAAGAGGTCTAGAATCATCATCATGATCTCTACGCTCTTGAGACTTTGCATGCAAAGAACCATTTTCCTCTCCGGCACCACAAAGTTTGCAGGGGTTACTCAATCTGTGAGAGCACCAATGGTCCGGGACACACAAAAAATGGGTGTCGATGAACTTCCTAAATCTTTTTTTGTATTCTATAGGAGAGATGACAGTTGGCTGCTGGTTCCTAGGAACCAGCGAAGACTTGACCCAATTCTCTAATTGTTTGTCCCATGTATATTGTCGGAGATAATCTATGATGCCACAGACCAGTTCCCGACGTTGAGAATCTACTCCAACAAGTAGAGAATAATCCATCACGTTGATCGACTGAAAGTAAATTAGCAAACAAAAAAGGATAGTCAGAAATCCAAGCCCTTAGCTATGAACAATATAGAAGCTATTTAGTCAAAACTTGGGTGCAAAACTCACGTGGAGGAAAGTAGTGTCGTTCCACACAGCCCTTTGCAAGTTACGCTTCGATTTCATACTGATATATAGAGGTGAATCATTCATATCATTGACAAAATTCTGATCCAAGAGAACGTCTCCCGAACCATTGCCAGCAGAATTAAAACGAGCATGAAGAGCTCCTTTAAGATCATATTGTCTCATTATGTTTCGACCAAAGGACAGATTCTCCATCACCAGGAGATCATGTTTGGTCTCCTTTCCATTCTTAGTTGCTCTTATGATGACCTATGAAATTTAAACTTGTAAGAATAGGCCCCGGAATATTTCTGAGCACGGTTGGCTAAGCTTCAAAATATAAAAGTAACTTCTCTTTCAAAGTGTTTGGCTTATAAGAGCTAGACAGCCATACAAACAGGAAAAAAAGTAGATAGACTGACCTGGTAGATGCCGAGAACTTTAGCAAGGCAGGTTGGATTATGCAACTCATAACACTGATCCATGTACTTAAAGTAGTTGGGTGCAAACTTCATGAATGAATCGAATTCTGTCCTCTTAATCTCCTTTATTATTAATCGATCGTCAAGTGTCTTAGCAAAGAAAGATTTGCTCTTCCCACCTTTGGCATCCCAATTCCTACAACGGCTTAAGGAAGCAATATAATCCACTTCAGAAGGACAACATCGGTCTCGCAACTGATGGAACTCACTTGCATACAAACATACGACAGAATATTTATGCTTTCCTTTTGACCCCATAGAGATTTGCGGGTGGTCAGCACCATAAGATTTCAAAGAATCCAACAAATCCAACCCATTAAAGCTCGATGAATGTGACTCCTCTAATGCATTGCTTGATGAAGAATTGATTCCGTCGGAATCCAAAGAACTAAAAGATGGCCAGTTAGAAGTCGAAGAGAAAATACGAGACAGGCTCTGCGAGCTCTCAATTGATTTAGCATCCATTCCTCGTTCTTTTCTGGCATCCTCGACTAGGTCCTCAGATGCAGTCGGTGGATTCTTTAATAAGGTCAGAGCACAAGCTATTATGCTCGAGAATTCATCTTCATAGTCGGACACAAAATAGTCATCAGTACCAAGAGGAATTTGTATTCTTGAGCTCTCGTCTGTGATCAGTTTATGAGCCACCGATTCTGCAGCATGGTGACTGAAAGATTCAAATTTTTGGAAGTCACTTTGCTGGAGGTTGGACATAATATTATCCTCAGAACCTGGAGGAATATGTAGTCTCAAGCCCTCGTCTGTAATCAGTTTATTAGCCACAGATTCTGCAGCATGGTGGCTTAAAGATTCAAATGTTTGGGAGTAACTACGCTGGAGGTTGTCCATGTATTTGCGTCGAATTACTGAATAAGGAGTCCAGATCAAACCCTTGTCATTTTCTAGGTTATTTAACATAGTAGTTGTCTGCTGATGTTTCAAATCAGAACCAGCAACTTCAATATCAGCAGCTAACGGTATTCCCCCATCTATTTGATTGTTCCCAACAGAGACTGGATTGTCAGAATGGACCTCAAAACTAGGTTTCACCAGGAAATGGACAGACGATACATTTCCATTAATTCCATCTACAGTCAGCTTTGCAATATCATCAGTGATAATAGATGTAGGAAATGATTCATCGTGTTCTCTAGATTCTTCAACTTGCCCATCAATTGGAATTTCTTTAATTGTAAAATCATTTGCTTCCATGGATGTAACGACCTTAATTTCCAATCCAGAAGTATTTTCCCGAGGACTGTCACAGTTTTCCACCTTAATATCAGACCCATTGGCTTCTTCTCCACCAGTTCCATCCTCTTTCAACTGAGATTGCTCTTGCGCTTGTAGCTTGATAGATTTACTTGCCAAAAGGTCGGATGATAATGAGTGTAGACGTTGATCCCAAACACGTGATTCAAGCAGAAGCTCCAATCGTACCCTGTTCAAGCTTAGAAGTTTATACGCAGGCTGATCTCGAGATCCATTCTTAACAGCATTTTGAATGTCAACCTGATTTTACATTTGCATGACCAAGCAAAATGAGAATGACCAATAGCTGCTATCATTAATTCAAAATGGTACAAAACAATTGGTGAAATTTGTCATTATTAATTTCAGGATGTAGGTACATGTCCGACAATCATTATATCTTAAAATACTAATCATCAGCATGTTTAATGCTGAGTTTTGTAAATTAAAAGATGGAAGTAAACATCCAGTCTCTATGCAGTTGCATGCATTAGAGAAGAAGAAAAATCAAAATAACAACAGTAATGAGCTTGATACAAAATATAGAAGCATAAGAAAATTTTAATTAGGAAGAATCCTCTCACCTCGAATTGAGATTTTTCTTGCTTTAACATCTCCTCAATATCAGAAAACTTCTTACTTGTTCCCTGAATGTTCAGAGTTCGACCAACATATTGAGTTTCTAAATCCTTCAAAGATTCTTCTATCTCCAAGAACATTTTAGTCCCTTTTGCTAACACCTTAGCTCGCAAGGGAAAATAAAGTTTTAAGTCAAAATTGAAGCTCATATAATCATCCGGATAGTAATAAAACAGCAATCGTTTTTATGAAGGTACTACCTTCTTAAAATCTTCCTTTAGTAACTCTCCTCTCAACGAAGAGTTAAAGTCCAGCATCTTATGTGGCAGAGACACCGAATAAGTAGCAACTGGTGAGTATTTGAACACTGCAACCATTGGACCAGATCTACACGTGGACAAACAGATGGCAAGAATATAATAAAATATTTATTTTCCAATAAATACACCAAAATCAGGGACAACAAACTAATAGAAACATGGCGTGGCAAATACAGTGTTCCCATAAAGAAGAAAAAAGATGCTGTTCAAAAAGATTAGTAGTTAGGAATTGACCATACCCAAAGAAGTAGAGGAAATCCTTATGAAAAGAATGACCACAGCTGGATGGACTATTGAATGACGAGTGGTTCGAAAAATTGAGCTCCAAAAACTTTCCAAATGATAAACCACGGGCATCAGTTGATATCAAAACCCTTTTTGTAGATTTTGAGCTTCCATTCTGAAATTTACATTGACCACAGCGACTCCACATCCAAAGCTTTCCTTCAGTTTCACCAGGCAGACCTTTGTCATCAGGAAGACGTCTAACTTGAATAGTTAGTTGCTTATTATGATGTGCATAGTAGAAAAAATGACCCTCCGGGGGTTTACCACAAGTCTTGCACTGGAGTCCCTGTGAAAGAAAAATAAAATTGCAACAAGAAATATAAATAAGTGAAATTAATCTATGAAAAACAATTATTTGACCTCAGACCTGAGTGCTAGTTCAGTTCACTGAATGTTTTGAATTCTATTAAACAAAAAACCAAAGAACCTTCAAGTACCCCCAACCAGATGAGTAAGCTTTAACTTATAAATTGAATCTGATATCTTTCTTCAACAGAATGGTTCAGAAAACTTATTCTTGGCTCAAGAAATTATGATTGAAATCTCATAGTTTCACTAAAACATCCACAGCAAGAAAATTCAAAGACCCTTTTCTTCGTAGCACTGTTCTTAGGATGCAAAGGAAGAAAACTAACAACTTCTGAGTATATTTCTAAAGTAGATAGGGGTATCAAACACTTCTCAACCTGCAAGGGTATTTCAATGCTGGAATTTCTTTTAGCCAGCTACATAGTCGAGCTTTTAAATTCTAATTAGGATTGATTCAATGTATATGTCTCAAGTTTAAAAGGTAGTGACAGCTTTATATAATCCACAACTCAAGAAAATGTTTGATATACTCGGTACACATTTCTTTCTCGTGCAATCTTGGAAAACATGAAACAAAAGTTTCCAAAAGAAAAACTATAATTTAAACCACGTACAGGAGTTTCACATACCTGATTGAGTAAATTTTCCCACAAAAACTTTCCAAGAGGATCGTCAAAATTACGGTAGAACTTAATATGAGAAAAATGACTTTGCTCACAAACAGTCCCACTTGAAGCATTCCGCTTCGACATCAGAACCAAAATACTTTCAGAATCCAATATTGAGCTGATCTCATCCTTATTATTCATTTGGTCTTCAGCTTTATCGCTATTATCTAGTGTGTCCAAAGATTCTACAGAACAACCTGGTGGCAGATGTGGCTCCACATTACAGAGCAAATTCTGTTCCTCAGATCTTAAGATCGGCATTGTATCGTCATGATCCATTACCTCCACAGAACTAGATTTTTTCACCTCATGTTCAACATGATCTTCGTGATTCCTTCCATCAAAACCAAGCTGACAGGACATACTTTGAGAAGAATCAGAAAAAAGAGGAAAACTATCATCCATAACTTTTTTAAGAGAGACTGACAGAGATAATCCCGGAAATGTTGCCGGGCTATATGGCTCAAATGAGAATGAAGAATTGCCTTCTGATAGTGAAATTAGGTTGTGAGGTCCAGTTTCATGGAACCCATCAGAAATGGGAATGTCCAATGACAACGATGAATCAGTTTCAGCATTATTTTCCTGGCAAAATAAAGTTGTCTTATCAGTATCAATTGATAATAATTGTTGGTCAGTAAGCGGTAGGTCCACCACCTTGTTCAGAGGAATAGTCGAGAACATTGCCCTCTGATCTAGAAGGAAAGAAGTCTCGAGCATTAAGTGATATGCCATGACAACTGCACACCGGAAAACGCATTTAATCCTTTTCAGTTCATTGCCATTAGCTCCCATCAGCAAAATCTGTACAACACCAGTTGTGTACTTTTATTCCACCAGAATTCAAAGGCAAATTGCTATCTTAGAAAAATAAGAATTTTTTTTAATTTGTAAATGAAACTCTGCAGTGCAGGTAGTCCAGAAGGCCATTGCGCAGGTAATCAACCTATCTGATAAGAGGACAAACTTGCTCAAAAAGGAAAAGGAGCATGTTTCGCTAAGCTTAAATAGTTTACATATAAGTAAATGTAGAATTAACAATTTATTTTATTGATCAAATTTCAAAATAAGAAAAAAAGTAACATATTGGAATAAAAATTTACTTAAAAGTAACTCCTCCTTTTTATGCTTAGCAAGAAATATTCTTTAGCTATACAATATGGGCATGCCAACATTTTTGTTTACATCAATATGCTTCCTAAAAGGAATCGTCTTTCATGGATATCACAACTAACATAACATCTACATAAAATTTTCTGAATTAAAGAACAATACAGGCCAGTGAAGAAGACTCACGGTGCATCCAAGACGAGTGGGACAGCCCTCAAGGAACATTAATGTTTTACTCGGTTTTTTCCCACCTTCGGCTAAAACATTGTGTTCTTCTACAAACTTTTCAATCTGAAAGGAATCACACTGCCTAAGCTGTTGGCCACTAGCAAAATCTGATGACAAGATATGTGAACCAGTACAACGAGCAACTCTCTCCAGTCGATGGAGCTTCATATCAAAGACTAACGTCATTCCTTTTGCAAGAATAGATTCTTGTATACCACGAGAAACTGATTTCTCAACCAAAATCACATTTGGATGGTACATTTCTATCCTCTCAACGATAGATTTTAGAATATCCTTCTCCTATTAATTAATATGTGATCAGAAAAAATAAATAAATAATTGTATAATGTAGAAGAGATGAATGCTTCACTAGTTTTTATAGAACCATAATATTTCCATATACCTGTTGCATTGATTCAAATGATGATAATCCACTGGAAGAAAGATCGAGCGAACCATTAATTAACATCAATCTAGGGTTCTTGTACTTTGTTGGCATGTGTTTGTGGGCAGCATGCTTTTTGAAGACGCAACCTTTAACTAATCGACTGCAGAAATTTAAAAAAAAATTAGGACTATGATATATAGATTCATGTGGTTGCTAAATTCATAGCAACCAATGTGACTCGACATTGAAGAAACTTGAGCTATAATTATTTATGACTTAGGACAGATAGAATGCAAAAAGATTCAATTAAAGAAATACTTTTCCAAAAATTTAAAACTATGTATATGGTATGAAATCTCTACAAAAAGGAAAATATCCATCAACTCCAGGAGAGAAATTAGACTGCAATTTTCTTATGTTCAGTAGGAAATCTATTGTAGCATAAGAAAACTCCTTGTGCCTGATCCAACAAATGCAAAAATTAAAGGTGCCAAAATATCCATCTCATAGCTAATTGGCATGTAGTCAAAGGCCACTCAGGCTCACATTTATTCCCTATGGGGTATGTTACCTAATAAAAGGTAAGGATCATTTGACACACTTATGTACTGGTGTCTTTTTTAACCCTTTAAATTAAAGCATAATTTGATTTGACAAATAAAAGGCCAGAAAGTTATACAAAAAAAAGAAAGAAAACATTGGAGAAAACAATTGTTGCTTATCACCTTTGGCTGCGGGAACCAGTTGCAATACATTTGATTTTGACGTATCCATCAGGATCCATTGCCTTACCCTCGTTTGCACCAGGCTTCACAAAAGAAGCAGCCTCCCATGATAAAGAAGTCACTATATCCACCCAATTTTCTCCATCATTTCTGGAAGAGGCAACGCCAACAGACTTAATTAGTTGACCAACAAGGGCCTTGAACTTCCCATTCATAACCTCGTCCATTGCTTTACGCTTTTCCTCTTTGAACTTGTAGCTCCCACTGCCTTCTTCTCCAAAACAGCTTAAAGAACTCGAATTGGCCCATCTCACACCGTCCTCCCCACATTCGTCTTCATCGTCATCGTAATTTTCCACCCTACCTATGTTATCATCTTCTTGATCTTCTGGTTCTGGTGGAAGCCAAAATTGAGCATCCATTTCATCCGACATCCCAATTTCTTTGTCGATAGATGAACCAACTCTTTCCACGTTAATTTCTCGCCCAGCCTGAACTCCACCGCTTCCTACATTTTCTACACCAGTCCGATGGAAACCGTTCAATTTATTTGATGAGTTTGAATAATCCAGATGCCCTTTTGAACCAGAAACAGAATCTTCTTGACTGCTGTCCGTGCTGCAGTCTTCTACATAACCACTGATAAAGAACAGAACAAAACATAGAAAATATCGAAATAAGTTGAATTTGTGTTGTTCCTTTAAGAACTCAATTAAAGTTGTCATCTCTGATAGTTCTCATAAAATAATGCATTCGAGAGGGTAAGGAATTGCATACCGGCCAAAAAAGTTTGCATCAACTGAAAAGTCACCTGAAAAATAAGATTACAAGTGAAGGAACAGCGAAAACAAAATAGCGCGAAGAAGGAAGAAATATAAAGAGAAATTATTTACTGCAATTTGAAATAGAACTGTCACTGCTTATTAATGATGCAGTGGGGCTGATGGATGGCATCGCACGAGGACTGGCACTCTCTCGATTGACAGACTGTAAATCTTTCTTTACTCCACAAAACTCACAAGACAGGACAGTGGCCCCACTGTTTGGGATTATATGATTCTCGTTCTCGTGATCCATACCATTATTTGACATCGTGAAATGTGCAGCGCAGTAATGGCACATATTACACCTGATCCGGAACCCTTTCAGCCTGCATATTCAGTCAAAGCAAATTCAAATTTTTGAAATACTTCAGAAAAACATTGGAAATAAAGTGTCTAAGCAAACCATAGTTCAAAAATGCAAATTAGAAACGTAAAGCACCAACAGTACCAGTATCAAGAATGGAACTCGACAGTAATAATAGTGATGGTGACTAAACACAAGATAAAATAGTCATACCAAAATCAAGATCCCATATGTGACGGGCAACAGAGAACTTTAACCTGATAAATACCAATTTATTGGTAAACCAAATGAATAGATTTCAAGAACATGCGTGTTCGGTAGAGATTAAAATTGAAAAACTAGCCGTTATTGTTGACTTTTATTAGACAAGTGGACTCAATAACGACTATATTTTAAATGGATTTTAAGCTTAGCCAAACATACTCCAAAATTGATAAGCACACTGAGTAGTTTTTAAATAAAGAGAACAATTTTTCTTTACATATTAACAAAAATACGAACACACTCACACTATTCTACCACCACCATTCCAACCTTCCTCAGGAAAAAAAAAAAAAAAAAAACTACTGTGTTACTTACACAAAGAAATGATAAAATAAAATAATGAATCAGACAGAAAGAATTACCCAACAAACTTCAGATCAAGATGGGCTATCGAATTTAGGATTTAGAAAAGGAACTCACCAATCCCCTCAAAAGTAATAAGAAAATTTTTCATTTTAGGTACTGAATGAAGATTTAAATCTTCAATATACCCGCTAGGCCAAAAATGGGAATATTTCAAAACATATTTATATAAAAAACTAACAGTTCAAATACCTTATAGATTAAAACCCAGCTGGGAACAAAGCTTATTCACCAATCCTGATTGATCTTGAATATATGACTCGAAAATTGAACAGTTCAAGACTACAAATGCAATCCAAAAATCAAGAATTTACAATTAGTTTGTCGGTTGACTCTTGAGTCAACACAGCAACACAAAACAAATAATCCCAAATTTGAATAACAGCAAAGAACATTAATTTATCCAATATCAAACAATATCAAAAGAATCACAGTAATCAGATTGCAGATGAATATAACTTACTATTATGGAGTTCGAAACAACAATAAAGAATAACATAAAAGAATAAAAACAAGATTTGTATAACTTACTGTTAAAGAAACCCAATTAGCAAATAATCATGACCTTTAAATCCTTCCAAAGAATATTATTAATTGCACAAACTAATTTCAGCTCTCGGAAGATATTTCTTGCTTTAGGAAGCGGGGATTTGAAAATCTTGGACATTCAAGAACTGAAGAGAGAGAGAGTCTTAATGAATTGGTTCAAGAAGAATAGAGAGAGAAGAAGAATGAAGTAAAAAAAAGTTGATTTATGTTGGAGAGATGAAATGAGAAGGAAGCCAAAAATTGTCTCCGAGTGGACCCTACACTCCTCTTTTCCTGCTTATTATAGACGGCGAAATTTTTCATTTTCTGATAAATAATAAAAGATAATTGATTTATTGGTCCCCCAATTATAAAACAAGAACAAGTTGGTCCTTGATCATTCATTATAGTCGCATAATTCAGTTATCGTTACGTTGCATTCGTATATCCAATTTTATTAAGCTTGACTTTACTTCCTGAATCCCAACTTTGATTGGTGCTGAGAAATTTGAAGTAAATGTGCAATTGTAACAAAACGCAAGAGATTAATATCTTGTTTGGTTCGAATTAAAATCTAATTTTAAAAATTAATATCTTGTAACTTCTATCACAATCTACTAAAAATTTAATTTTAATCTCCACCAAACACCAGGTTCTTCCTAAAATTTTCACATCAATTTTACAAAGTCGGGCTTTGCTTCTCAATTTAGATTTGTATCAATAAATTTGAAGTATGATATATCTTCATTAGAATGATATAAGATGTTATTGAAAGTTTCGTCAATTCCATCATTTGAGACTAATTTTACAACATAATAAAATGGATATATCAATATTTACGTAATAGATTACATAATGTCACACAGCACTCTACTATTTTTCAGTTTAAAATACAGTCAACTTTTTTATCTAATTTTTTTCTTCAACATCATATTATGTAATCCATTATATAATTTTTTTTATGTACAAGTAGCACAATCTTTAATAAAATATTAGGGACTAAATTGTTCTTTTTAAAAGTTTCACGTCCAAATTTATTAAGCATGGTTGTACTTCTCAACTTTGAGTATTGCCGATAATTTTGAAGGAAGAAATATTTTCGAGAATTACATGACGACTTAATGAAGATTTGAATGGTTTCCGTCAATCAAGACTCATCGTAAATAATAATGAACAATTAAGGGTAATTTTCTCCTTGTTAAAGGTTGAGGACTGAATACCTACTATAACAATAGGTCAAGGACCAACAATGTAATTCTTTCTATCAGTATTTATGTGGGTAGATAAAATACCATATGGATGATTTAAATTCTCCGTGTACAAATGCAAGAAGCTAATAAGTGACGTTTAAAATTTGAATCCATACACTTGGTCATGTCTCAATACACATTTGCTTACATGTAATAAATGAAGACTATTTCATTGGTTATATCACCTGATTTCTGAATGTATTGCATATACATAGCCCCAAAAAAATTTATTTAAAAAAAAAAAAAAGAAATTCTTTTTAACCTATTTCCAAGAGTTCAATTTGAATTATGTCAAGTTATTAGTACTAGTCACGGGTGAACGTGCAAATCTGAAATACTTTATAAATACTGTAAAAACAATATTCGAAGATGTGTGATTACAAAAAAATTGTTTATGTGAAATGAATTTTTTAATAAATTCAATTATTTATTTACGTGCATGTATAATAATTAACATTTATTTATATATACTTTACTATAATTCAATCAATAAATTCTTCAAGTTCATGTATACTTTATATGTTTTGGAGACTATTCAACTACTTTAGAAATACTACAATTCAATTATTTATGTATATGCATGTATAGTAGTTAACATTTTTTTATAGATATATCATAACACAAAGACTTCAAGTTCGTGTACACTATTCAATTACTCTAGACGTAAATAAATTATTCAAGTTCATGTACACTTATTTATTTTCGATATTATTCATTTAATCTAAGATCGAACGTCATTTGTCTAAATGTATATAAATTATTATTATTTGTATATTCATTGATTCAAAATAATTAAATTTCATGTTAGTTCACATACACACCATTTGTCTAAATGTATATAAATTATTCATTTTCTATATTCATTTATTCAAATTAATTAAATTCAATTGTTCTCATACAATTCAATAATTTGTTTACATGCGTGTATAATAATTAACATCAATTAAATATATATTAAAAAACGAAAAATAAGCTATTATGGAAATAATTAAATTGCAGTAGGCTAGAATCGTCCAAAAGATTATTATCGCTCGATGCAATATTTAATATATTATAGATATATTGATTGTTTGTCTCACTTTTTGAGTGTCACTTTTTTTGAATTTTGTCATTTTTTTTGAGATTGTGTCACTTTTTTTAAAAATGATTTTTTAAAAAAAAAAAAGGTAAAAAAGTGACAATTTTTATAAAAAAAATGACATTGCGTCACTTTTTTCATTTTACACAGTATTTTTTACTTCCTAAAAATTTTCATGTGATTTTTCAAAACATCCATAATTTTAAGAGTATTTTTGTAAGTACCCCTTTTTTTTTGGTATTGGAATGCTAAAAAATTTGAGGCGGCCCAAAGCCCAGTACAGGCATCTGCTTGCACTACTGGGTCCGCCCTTGCGTAAGGAAGAATCAAGAAACAATAAATTTGGAAATAGAAATAGAAAAAAAATAAAAAAAAAATTCTAAGGAGGTAGAACCCAATAGATTTAAAGAAAATAAATCTCATATTATCATTTTCAGCAAAAAATATATATATATAAATGAAAATTGTTTCTGGTGATAAACTATGCGATATTGGGAACATACAATTCTACGTCAAATACTTATTATTGCTTGAATTTTTAAATATTCTTTGATGCTTATGTTTACATGTGGGAATTATATCAAAAATATGAAGTGGAGAATAAGAATAAAAAATAAAATGATAGGGGTAAGAATTGAAAATAAACAATTGCGTGGTTGAACCGGTCCCTAAGACACGGTTCAACCGACCCTTCTTAGGCGGCCTTTTGTCCCCTTACTGGTAGCCCACACACTTCGGGATTTTTAGCCGTCCAGATTATAAAATTAAACTAATGCGAAATCAACGTGTTCAAACAACTCAAATAGTTTTTTGTTTGAAATTTTCTCCTTTTATTTTGGATTTTTGTTTGAAATATTTTTATTGAGAATCTAGTAAAGGGTTTTTCAAAGAATAATCCAATTTTCTACTCAATTTTGATTTTTAAATTTTTTTTTTTCCGGTGCACAGTATTCGATCACAACCCCTCACTTCTTCTACTTCTAGTCTTCGACTTGAGTCATTTTTTCGTGTCCTTGATTCGTTAAAATTTATTTAGATGATTACACATGTAGTTAAAAAAAGTTGCTCATTTGTAATATTTCATTATCACAAAAAATTTGAATCATAAAAACTGAGTTTTGAGAATACAATTGTCTTCTTATAAATTTATATTCTATGTTTTATTTTCTTTATTTCGTTTGAGACTCATCAAATCCTCCTAACAAACTGGTATCAAATATTACTTTTACAGTACTTATAAAGTATTTTAGAATAATATGCAATGCACGTTCAACTTTGATTGGTAATTTTAAAAAATATTATAGTTGAAAAAAATTGTAAACAAATATTCATGTTAACAAATTCAAACTATATATTATTTAGTGATTGTTTGGAAAAGTTAAAAAGGTTTTTTAAAAATTGAGGTGAAAATTAAATGACGATTTTAACCATACATTTGATGAGACTCGTAAGTTTTAATAACTACATATTTCATCAACTTTTATATCAAATCTAATAATTTTAAAACTTTG